CAACACATTTACATATATACATGATATCGAACATACTATATAACACTGACGAAGAGCTTTAATTTGACATTCTTAAATTCCCTGCGCGTGGATTCGTTCGATGCAAGTACTCACTTTAAGGTGCACAGTAGATACTTACTGACATTGACTGTTCATCTACATTCCAATGCTAATCGATGACGATCAGACATGTCTACCACAGACCATTGAATAAAAGATTCTGTAAGCAGTGAATATACTGTCGATTTGCGCCATTGTTCGAGAGTTTTAATTTAATTCTTTAGGTTTTACTTTTATGAGTAAATTCTCCATGGAACTAAAATATTAAAGCCCGTCTTATTGGACTAGATTTTAATGGAAATTTTCATAAACCTCTCAAGTTGAAGGTTGCATTTTGCTTTTTTGCTTTTCTGGGATTTTTTTACACAAAAATTGAAAAACGCCTTGGAGTCTTGGAAGTTGGAGCCCCACGGGCCACAGGTCCCATCGCTGGAGTTGTGGCTCAGTGTGAGGCTGAGGCATAGGGGAGGTCAGGGATGCCGGATGACCATATCAGGCAATAGCCAGCCGTGAATCGTTGACTGATGAGTGCTGATTCATAAATCATAACAGTCGTTGCGTACATCAGACCACGTTACCATTGTTTCATGACTATGAGGCCTCTCCTTCCCTGCAAACAAATAGGGCAGACGGGTGATGTTCACGATTCTATTGAATAGTGTGTGCACATATGTCTGACTGATATGCAAACTACTTCAATAATATGTGAGTGATATCAATTTTGCTTGGTACTGCTTTAAGCACTATATGGTCTCGAATGGGAATACAGGTCGCCAAAGCTGAAACAATCGCAGACTAGCACATAAGATCAGACCGTGCGTGAATGATGAAAGAAATAGCCCCGTTTGAAGACAACTTATGGTCCGAGGTTCATTTAGGAACAATTCGTTATAATTAACAATACGTGAGTTCCTGCTAGCATTATAAATTCTATACAATTTTTATTTCGCATGTTCATCGAAAAAAGTATTATTACCTGTTAAA